GTAGTAACTCGTTATAAGAAATTAGAATATAAGAACGATATCTAATAACCGTGATTGACATGGATATTTGTTAAAATCAAAATTTTATATAAAATCTTGAGAACTTAAAAATCTTACATTGGTATATAACCTTTGGGATCTGCTATTTTCCCATCATTAGTTGTAATATAATATATGAGTACAGAGCTGTTTTTTGTGAAAACAAATGTCGATGGTGAAAAACCATGGTCATATTGCAGCAGTCTTTGCTCAATACATATTTTTTTATTATAATAAAAATTGTACTCATAAACTAGAGGTATTATATTATACATACTATCATGAACTAGTTACGTTACGAAATTATGTGTTTTACAATTATTTATAAGGGCGTGAAAATTTTTGGTAAATTGAATACAATAGCAAACAAAATGGGCCAGAAAGAAATAAACACTGAAAACAGTAATATATATGCATTTTTTCTTTAAAAAATTATGCAAATGCATTTTTCTATTTCTGCCCAAATCTTCAAGTAAAAGTTATTGGGTGAATGAGAAGGTGAAGAAAGAATATTGTTAATATGATCGAGCATTACAATATTCAAAACCTAGATTATGTAAATTTTACGTCCTAATAATTATTTTTCTATATTTTATGTTAACAATATTTAACAAAGATAGTTGCCTTAAAAATTTGTTTCTAAACAAATCCTTTAAATATTCGAACATCACCCACACATCGGAATTTACTGACTCAATGAACTTTTGAAGCCCGGGCAACAAATTTTTGTTTAAAAGCCCAATAACGGCAAATTACAAGATAAGTTAAAATAAAAAACCATTAATGGTAAGGAACAACGATATTAGCATGAAAATTTTTAATTTTTGGGTTAGAACAAATGTTGGACACGTTTCATGATTTTATATTTATATTAGTTTGTTTCCATTATTATTAAAAATAGCGAATATTATTGGATAATGATTGATCTTAATTAATATACTAATATATTAATATATCAATTAATTAATCAAAGGACGAATTGTTTTGAATTATGATTTATTTGATTTCCAGTAGAGCTATTCTTTACCAGCTTCATTTAAGACTAATTTTTATTGGTTCTTCTTGATCGCTGTTATCACTTTCAAGTAAGTCCATGTCCAACTACGCTTTTGTCTGTTTGGTCTTAACGGTGGTGGTTGCTCATTTGAATACAAATCAGCCATGTTTCTCGGCCAAAAAAGAAATTATTGTACATTTAAACAACAATATCGGATATTTTTTATAAAATAAAAGAATGCATTGATTTTTTTGTTTTATAATCATTCGATACAAAATTCTTAATATTGATATTGATATAATAATAATGGATAACTAACGGATAGTCCCTTTTGCCCTTTTGTTTCATTAATATCAGTCATTGTATATGTACAGTCAAGGCTCATTATGTGGACACCCGATTCCAGACATTTTTGTCACTATAAAGAAAAAGCATTGATTAAATCAGTCAGCGAATAATTAAATCATGCAAACCTTGTAAAAGCTTCCTATCCCCGTTTGAGGTTTTCTGTGAGTCTATCACATGCAATGAACCTATTTTTAACAACTTCATCAGTAGTACTGTTATTCTACCCGCACTTTTACAATAAGAACCGTTGCCGCTTAGTAAGAAAGTTATGTTCGAAGGAATAGCTTTGGTGGCCTTCCCTTCTTAGAGGTTGGAATCGACTAAAATAGTCGACTAATTAATCGACTACTAATACTACTAATACTAATACTAATACTATGCTAATATTATTATTGTCTGACCAATTACATTTTTGTGTTTTATCATTCAAAATGGAAAATTTCTATGCGGAAGAGTATCAATACCATCAATATGATGATGACGACAATAGTAGTGGTGTTGTTGATGATAATTTTACATGAGAATGGATAAACACTTCCAATACAATGTCCAATAGTTCATGGGCTTCAAGTTCCAATGATCTAAGCAGTGGTTCCAGAAGACCTTTAAAAAAACGAATCGTAACACATGGTTTTGTGTGGAAGCATTTTGCAAAAGTGAAAGATTCAAATGGAAATGAATTCGTAATTTGCAAATTAAAAAAAAAAACGAAATATTATTTGTTATTGCTAAAATAATCAACTAATAGTCGACTAAAGAAAATTTTGACCAACTAGTAGTCGACTAAGGATTTTTTGGACGATTCCAACCTCTATCCCTTCTACATTTATACCAAACCTTGTAAAGTTCTGTAAAGAGAGATTCAAAAATTTAAATAAATTAGTTGATATTCTTTTTTCAGATTGATCTAATCAATTCAACAGTTTTTGAATAATACCTATATGATGATTCTACACATTTTGAACTTGAAAATCAAGAACGAAGCTAAAATTATTTACTATGGCCAAAATTACGGTGACCATAATTATTTACAGAATTTAATTTTAAACTTTTCTTGTCGTAATTAATTGATTTTTCCTGTTGCAATTCTGTAATTATAAAGAAGGCAAATAATTGCATCACAATCCTAGTTGCACAAAGATTCTATAGTAATAGTGTGATTGGTTAGTTATTAAAGTTTAATACACTCACCTACCATATATATCCAACCACCCAAGTCGTGTAATGTCAAATTAAAAGAGTCCTTACTAAAAAAGTAACTTTTTCTTAAATAAAACCCTTTTTACTTTACTAAGTAGACTTGTACTTGATATCAAAATCTCTAAATTACAAAAGCTTCAAAAGGTTTGGTATGGTATTATTGGAAATATTTAGCAAATAGTCCAAAAAAGCAAATTTTCAATCGGAATCTTTACATGTAATAAAGGTCAAATTTCTTCATTGTAATGTATATTATTTCATTAATAAACTGTGCTCAACGTGAAAAATTACATATATAGTGTTGCATAAATTAGTTCATGAAAAGGGTTTAAAAAAATATCCAGCCACATTGTAATTTTATTATATAAAACACAATAAATTGACAAAATGCAAATTTTAAGGCTTTACATTTTGTTGTAATAGGGTAACATTTTCAGTAGAAATTTCATGCCACCAGTGATGAGCAAAAGGTCCATAGTGTAAATTAAAGTCAATTATTCCTTGAGATGCAAGTGTTGGTGAAACTTCTTTACATTTAGACATTTAAATAAAAATTTTATATTTATACAATATGTACAAAAAAAATTTTTTAATATATGAATGCAGCTAGCTATAAATTTGATTTGATATAAAAGTAGTATGTCTGATATAAAAAAAATAAAATTTGAGATATGAAAGAATAATAAAGAATTATATGGACATGTCTGGATTCAGAAAATGAGACTCTTTATTAATAGATATTAATCCTGTTTAAAAAATATGCTGATCATCTACTTCTATCATGTATATATCTGTATGACAACAAAAATATTTATGATTACACATATCTGTCGTACAAATAAGACAAATATATTACTATTTTAATTTTTTTTTTGTTCACATGATTGAATTTTTTTTGTTGTTTGACATGGTGAATATTTGGTCCTAAAGAAGACGACATGTTATTTATTGATGGCGAGGTACATTATTTTTTGTTGTATTGTATTGTATTTTATTTTTTTTTATTGTTTTATAAATTTCTTTGATACACGCTTTTTTATTATTTTGTATAATGTATATTGTTGAAATCAAGACATGGAGCAGGTCTTGTCATGTCTCTTTAGGTATTTATTATAGAAAATTCTTGATGATAATAAGTAAACGATTGGTATTGTTTTGCTTTTTATAATCAACATTAATAATTTTAATATTATAATTACAAGATGTCAAAGGATAAAGAAGGGAAAATTAAAGATGGAGAAGAGAAACAATTCATTATGTAATGTTTGATTATCGGAAATTTACAGACGTCAAGCCACACACACTACCTTAAACACTTTACAGTCATTCTTGCATCCTCCTCGTGTTCAAAAGGCTAATCTTGACCTGCACCTCTCAATGATATGATAATGCAATTAAATTTCCAGGGGAGGCCGCATGGCCCTGGAATTTATTAAAGCTTGCATCAATCGTCAATGGCACTTTTCATTAATCTTCCCTCACCAGAGAAGGCTGCTGACATGCTGGCCAAAAAGTTGTCTGTAACTATCCTACTTCTGAAGTAAAGATGGATCTATGCAACCAAAAAGTTGTGCAACTCTGGATGTTGTAGCCCAACAGGAGACCGTTCTGGGAACACAAAATTATCAGGAGGGAACACAAAATTTTAACCCATGCAATTGTTGATTGACCAATTAAAATCGTGAATTCAATAATGTAAAAATAAATGTTGGTTTGATTTATTTTGTCAACAATCACTTCACCAACAATGTTTCATTAACGAATTTAAGAAATTAGAAGCAACCATGCAACAAACCATTGAAATAGTCTAATAAATTAAATGGTACTACTTGAAAATGTATTTAAAGGGTTGGTTTTCGACTTGGTTGAAGAATAACTCTCTTCCTAACTCTTCTCTTGACCATATCT